CCGCTATCTTACTTGGCGGCGAAATAAAGCACGTATGTTTTGTTCTTCCTCGAACGACACGTGTACCACGGTTAACTTTGGGGGGGAGTGAAGATGCGTGCTCAATTCGATTGGCCGGCTGTGATCGTTTCGTGACGGGAAAGAAGATCAAGTACAGGGTGGCGGCCGAGGGTGTTGGTGACTTGAGGAGTACCAAGGAGAGAACCGCGACCACCCGGTCGTTTTCACGGTGGCTTCCTTGAACATACCGCAAGTCTCCGAAAGTTACCGTGCCGCCCCCGCCCGCCTCCAGAATACCACGCGCCGTGAAGATATATTAGAAGGCTCTTAAATGTTGTGCTTCGTCGGCGTGTCGTATCTGGTGACACCTACGGGCTGTCTTTGTCTTTGGATGAGCGTATGTCGGTGGCAACATGGGAGAGAGAGAGAGAGAAAAGGTGCCCGCAGTTTTCTGATTGGCCAATTTTTTTTCAGGGAAATTTCTGATTGGCCAAAAATCCCTGGTCGACATGTAATGTCATCCAGAGACTGTCATCCAGATACTGTCGTCGATCTCCACTTGTTCTTGGATAGTTTTATTCCGTTTGCGCGCGAAGAGGTGAAAACATGTGGGGAAGGCTTTTTCGAGGACGACCTTCCTGTCGACGTTGTCACTGCTTATGGACATGCCGCTTTTCTTACAAATGGGCTGGAGTTGGTGAGTGTCGTACGTCCCTATCACGTGGGTATCGCTGCAGTGGGCAGCGGCCAGTATCATACTGGTGTGGTCTATATTGGACTCCCGCCGCGTGGTGGATGCCTCAGGCTGAACAGGGGATAGAGGGTTGGTGTTGTCGGATTTTTGTTTCGGCAGACGGGGGCTAGATTTGGCTGTACTCGATGTGCACAAAAGGGCAGTTGCCTGATTCATGTGCATAGTGCATAGATGTGAAAGTGTATGTATTCTTGCGTTTGTCTCTTGCGTGTTCCTAGGCGTAACTAGACGGGGTATGCATAATAGAAGCCCAAACCAGGTGGACGCATCAGTCCCTGAAGGCTGCCTGTGGAGTGCCATTGGGTGTGCCTGTGGGGATGCTCACAATCTAGAAAAACACCATCTATCTGTGGTTCAGATACCTGGGAACGGGAAAAACTCTCATATATATTTTTTCTTGTACTGCTGTAACAAGTACGGTTTGATCACGTGCGCGATCGTGGCGGAAACCCCATAGGGAATCACCCACCCGAAAGTAAGGTCACCCCATGTGCCGCAATTCCGTCGATAGGCGGGCGTCTTGCCCTTGCCCACACTGAGCCGACATGTTTGGCCACGAGCACCAGTGCTTCAGTATCACGTTTATCTAGGAGGGTGTGAGACACAAAAATGCAACATTTATTCGATGGACATTTTGCATCTTCCAGCGCTTACAACAGTACCAGCATACGGCCAGACGGCTGCATCCGGGGATTGGTCGTCTCTAGCGGTTAGCCTTGCGCGTGCGCATACAATGTGTAGGGCCCGCGCATTTGCGGAAGCACCCCGGATCGCGCACGAAGACAAGAAGATGTACTCGCACAGAGCGAGCCCCCAAGACAATCCCTCTGTTCTTAGGCGGGCATGTGTAGTTCTTGCACTTGGGCCGCCTGTTCGCTCAAAGGAGAATATCCACGCTTGTCCGCTACGCGAGGCAGACGATCTGGGCCCTAAAACAATGTTGTGATTCCGACGCAGTCCCCCCCTGTAAAATACATCCCTCGCCCTATGTTCATACATGGTCTCGGGCCGACCGACCAGAAACCTCTTCCAAACCAAACCCACATCTTGAAAGAGCATTCCCGTCCCCCCCCACAAATGTTAGACTCCACATTTCTCACTAGTTTAACACCTAAAACAATAGAAAGAGCGAATATACTACATTCGAAGTCACGTATATTCCTAGAAACTCCCCTACCCAACCCAGCCCTCGGGCGCGCGTGCGCTCTCTCCCTGGACTAATCACGCGCAAGGGCGAGCGTGGCTACGTGCTGGCCGCTGAAGCCTTGGCGGCCTCGTAGTGCTTTAGGATGAGTGCCTTGATCTCCTTCACCCCGACGCCCTTCTTGACCTGCGCGAAGATCGTGTCTCCTTCCCCTCGCATCACCTTCGCCTCGCGCCGCATGACCTAAGGAAAGTCACGGCGAACAACGTACGCCAAGAACAGTGTAGATGCCGACGGGGGTCAAGGGGAGAGGGAGAGAGAGAGAGGCGGCTCCCTTATGGCAGAGATCCCCGGGACTTGAAAAACAAAAAACACATGGCGTCTGTAGATTCGCTTCACAGACATGTGAACAACAACACAAGTCTTAAAACGACGTCAGGTTGCTGGAAGTGAGAGACGTGAATGGGGCCTACCGCGCAGACGGCAAACTCACGCCCCATGTGCAAACACCAAACGCACAATAGGTTCTCAGATGACAAACGCAAAACGCCACACTTGTCGACGTTTCTACACTAGAACGGCGCTTACCTTGGCTCCTTGCGGTCTTTCAACGTTTCGAAACAAAAACGACGCTCAACACGGTTCATAGTTGCATTTCGGTCAAGGTCAACAAACAAGCTTTGGTCTCCTCATCCCACACCTCCAAATCCGCGCCTACGGCCTCGGCTAGGTCGGTCTTGTTGATGACGAGAAGGTCGGACTGGGTGATGCCTGGCCCGCCCTTTCTGGGCACCTTGTCCCCCCCGGCGACGTCGATGACGTAGATAATGTAGTCCGCCAGCTCCCGGCTGTAGTTCGCGGCGAGGTTGTCTGACGACAACGATGAATGGAGATTATCGTAACGGGAGGCTCGCAACAAAAATAAAGACTCGCCTCAAAAGGTAGACCTACAAACCTACAAGATAGGTTATGGGTAGCACTGTACAGCGCCGCGAGAAATATCATGGAAAGATCGGAACGGATCTAGAACTTCGGATCTAGCCTGCTGGATAACGTACCCCCCCCCGACTCGACGAGGATGATATCGGTCTCATGCCTGGCGGTCAGCGTTTCGCATGCCCCGAGGTTGGCGCTAATGTCTTCTCGGATGGCCGCGTGGGGGCACCCTCCAGTCTCGATAGCGAGAATCCTGTTGCAATTATGTACAGCACGGCCGATGACATGGAGAAGTACGAGAAAGTAAATCGGCAACCATACAAAAGTGGTGAACGAATCAACGGGAAAGGTCGTAGCAGCTACAGCGGCGGCGGCAGTAGGAGCTCCAACAGCAACAAGAGTATTCAAACCGTAGCCGTACGGTACCCATAGCAGCAGAACATGCCAGAAAAACACGGAGTCTAGTTGCCTTTGCTCCCTGACTCGCGTGCACGAGTCGCGGGTGCCAAAGAGAAAAATGGAAGCTGACCAAATGTTGAACATACTGAGAACTGCACGACACCCGCACGCCCCGGGGACTCCCAAAGTATCTGACTCCGAGATGAACCACCTGCCACATCATTCTCATTCAAATACAGGCCCTCAGTTGTGTGGGAACGAGGTTTTGGGGGGAAACCGGCGTCACAAAGACCACAACTCGTTGCCGAAAACCGCCCAAATCTTCGTAAATTTAGGCGAAAATATCCAAGCAATGGAAACGAACACCATGGTGTAGTATCATTTCCTCCCTGTCCTCGAAGTTGCGAGAAAGGGTCAGGCTGGGCGTGTTGGAGAGAAAACGACATTCACCGTGCTGATTGGCTCACCTCCCCTCCTCGAGGGCGGAGTTTTTCGTCAGGAACTCGGCGTCCTCGCGAGTGAAGATGTCGTTCGTCACCTTGAGAAAGGGCGTCGATTGGTCGATTTTTCCGACGACACGCACGGCGAAAGACGACGCAGCGATCAAGACCAGTCAGGCATCAGGGCCCCTCTCGCCTCCGCCAGCCGCGGTTAAGATGTGGGAGAGTGGACTGCTGTGTAGCGGTCGCAACAGGTCGGCGGCTTGTTGCAGTTTATGCATCCACCCACATCACTGGACGGGGATGCACAACTTTTTACATCTAAAGCAAGTGAGAGCGAGGGCCAGGACTGCTGACTGCTCAGAGATCTTGTGGGTTGCGTACAGGACACGCCGTCGCGCCGTGAAAAACATCTACATGTAGAACGCGTAGCCTTGCTGCGGTTGTACGTAGATTAAAAAAAAGGTACTTTACACGCCTTGCTGCATGCAGGTACGTAATCGACGGCACTCACCGCCCCTATGCTCAACTCGTCGCGAAGCAGCTTGCACAGCTCCAGCATCAACGCAGTCTTCCTGTAGGTAGAACAGCGTAGCCCCGAGGCGGCGTCCGCCAAGAGTTAGTGGACATCATGTTTCGCGATACTACTGCTGTATCTGTAAGCCGAATACGAAGGTGGACGCTGAGGGGCTTTGTAAAGACAAAAGAGGCGGCAAATGCATGCGTCGACAATTTTCGGGCGAGATGGACTACCGGAAAACGCTACCTCGCCGCTGCCGCAACATGTGCCGCATATGCATACGTTACCAGACATTCCCGCACCGCTGGAGGCGAGAACAAGTCTGCCAGCGGGAATGGTTCTCAGCAAGCTTACAATAGCGCAGATAGATGTGACGACGCTGCCATAGACTACATAGCATCTACAGTGTAGTAATGGGCAACGCTGCTCACCCACTTCCCACCGGTCCGCCGATGCCCACGGTATAAGAACGCTCTGCGAGAGCGCGGTCGGGCTGAGGGGGCTCACGGTCGGCGAAGAAGCCCGGGTGGTCCATGTGTTCGTGAGTGTGGCCGTGTTCTGCGAAGGTCGGGTTCTGTTCAGCAGCGGAGGTGAGGAATTGGTATCCTGACAAAAGCAAAAGCGAGTGCGTCGTTGACAAGAGGGAAGTAGACGCAGAGGAAACCAGGGAGACTTCGTAGCACGCATCAGCCGACGCGCGTGAATCACGCTTTGACGGCGCAGCGAGGACCAAATGCAACCAGTTCTACAGCAGCAGCAACAAATGGCGCCTCCTGCTGCTGTTTCCCGAGACACTCAGCAGTGTTTGACATGCATGTCGAACCTGCGAATCTGCTTGGTGTTCTTCTTTTCCGTGTCCACCTCCGTGAGAATAGTTGTGGCCATGGCCGTAGTCGTCGTCGTGGCCATGGCCGTGATCGTGGGAGTGGCTCTCAGATGCCATGGCCTTGAAACTTCAAAACAAGGGGTGCGCAGCAGTTGTGTAGCGGCAGTAGAGCCAGCGAGCCAGCGAGCCAGCAGCAGCAGGGCGAAAAATGCGGCGGAACTTGGAGAAGCGGCGAGATTCCCACTGCAGGCGTGCAGGCGTGCAGGCGGCCTATTTTTTTTTTAGCTGTTCCCTACGCGTCACACACTTATTAGCTAAATCATCGGCGAGGAAGACAGAGCTACACCTACGATTAGAGACACAGGTACGTTCGCAGGTGTACTCTGGTGGTGATAGACAGACGAGTCCGCGTTGACCTCTCTCCTTAGCGTCCATCGCGGTGTGGAGGGTCTCTCTAGGAGTAGTCTGCGCGCCGACGATACGCGCATAATATCTCACCTCACGCCACCTCTCGCGTGTCGAACGCAGCAGGTACACAAGAACACCAGCTTTTCGACCGAGCTATGACTTCCAGACGACGAGAGTCGACCGGTGGCAGAGGTGTGCACATGCGGCCTTGCGCTGGGTTCACCAACTTCCCAGCCAGCAGGTGCGAAAGTTCAACTCGTCTCTCGACTCGGAGTATTTTTATTTCATTGCCCATCACACCTGAAAGAGACCCACGTTAGGTGATGTCATCGCCGCTACCCGCACGAACCTCCGACAGCGTGATATAGATATACACGAAACCATGGGTGCCCCCCACCAAACCCGGTGCGCCAACAGCAGGTCGAGCGCAGGGCCAATACGATTAACACCCACGGGATGTTGTAAGTTGTCGCAGGCCACGCCAACAACCCCTTTTTTTTGTTCAGTTCAGACCCGGACCGGCATACGTTCGCGGCGAATTAAAGAACGTCATCATTGCGTTCCGCCTACTGACTGTCGCCTTCGGCCCATTACAGGTTTGGCAACACCAGGCGCGTCTGGCCTCCGCCCCAAGTGCAAATCGCCCACCCGAGCCTCGGCGTGGCCACCCTCGTTAACGGGGCGAGGTTCCGCGCCCGCGCCGGCCTGGGCGACTTCATAAAGAGCGCCCAGGGGGCCGGCGGCGGCGGCGGCGGCGGCGGTGGGAGCAAGGGCGGCGACGACGATGACGAAGTGACGAAGCTCATCGATAAGTACGGGGATCGCATCGGTGAAGTCGGGTTCGGCGGGGTCGTGGGGTTTTGCTCCGGGTGAGTTGTGTCGAGGGCACCAAAACAAGGGACAAATAATGCGCGGAGTGATTTTTCGTTTTTATTGCCCGTGAGACGAGGGGAAGGGATTTGTTCCTGTTTTTCAAGTGTTTTCTTCCCAGATGACGAGGGCCTAGGGTGTGGCGGAGTTGTTGTTGTTGCAGCCACAAACTGGACGTTTTCATGTTCGTGTGTACCAGTACATGTGCTTTCTCTATGTAGGAAGGATATGAGGGCGATTTTCTACTGGTGATATTCTACTGGTGTAGCGCCTCGAAAATAAATCCCCCCTTCGCGAAACTCCTGCTGCTTTAGTACTACCGTGTTGACGACGACGTCGTTTCTGTGGTACATGTGCAGAGAGCAGGCAAGCACCTATCGATCTGTGTTCACTTTCGATTATCGTCTCTTTGTTGTCCCCTCTTGATGCTGTCTTTATTGTCCTCTCTTGATGCTGTCTTTGCAGTCATGTCGAAAAGTCACCACCTACAGCAGTATGCATAGCATATCGCCAATAAATGTACCCACAGCTAAACATCATAGATAGATGCATATCAACAAGCAACCGGCGTCGTACAAGCAATCACGGCCGGCAGTAGTCAAGCGCAACACAGTATGAGCGCTGATTGGAGCAGCACACGTGTAGAGGGGGGTGGTGCTGCCACGAAAGTCGCGCTTGTAATGCATGCAAAGACCCCCTACTACTGTAGTAGATTTAGTCTAGACCCCTAACGGCGAAACAGAGTTTTCTTCATCTTCCTTGCAAGGAAAGAAGCCCGTGCCAGCAACGATGTCGGGAGGAGTCTCTGAGAAGGAGCTCGCTGCTACACCTGGAGAAGCTGATCAGAGGTTGACAGCACGCCTTGAGGAACAGCAGACCAGGGCTGAGGAGAGGATGGACCACAGCTGCTTCCCTCGAGCTCCTCCTCGGAGACCCTCCCGACATCGTTGCTGGCACGGGCTTCTTTCCTTACAAAGGAAGATGAAGAGAACTATAGAGTGCTGGTAACTGCTAGAGCCGGGGCTGTGTACCGGCCGGGTATGCCCGTATTTGTGACAAGAGTCTCGCTTGCGAGGAAGATGAAGCAAAATCTAGAGTGCTGGTAACACCTGGAGCCGGAGCTGTGCGCCGGATGTGCTGGTTTTCACCTACAGTGACGATAGAGTCTCGTTGATGGCGAGACTCTCTAGTCACTGTGGTACAAAACAGCACATCCGGCACACAGCCCCGGCTCTAGGAGTACCAACACTTGACGTGGTATGGGAACCAGTTGGAGCACAGGGGTGTTAAGCAGTAGTGCATTACCATGGCATTGTCCTCCCCCAAAGTACCAAACTTTATTATAACGACAATCAATCGAGGTCGTCGAAGAGTTTGTGGTTGAGGAGGCGCCAAAGAGCTTCAACGGCAGACACCAATTACAAGATGGTGTCAAACCATCTTGTCCTTGGCGTCTAACTTTGAAGCTCTTCACCGCCTTCTCAGCCACAACGTCTCGGCAAAAGATAGGCACACCACAGAAGTACATGTGTGTGCATTAACTTTAACATGAAACTCATCCGCAAAGTCTCGGCAAAAGATAGGCACATCACATAAGTGCATGTGTGTGCATTGAGTTTAATATGAAGCCGTTGTTGTACTTTGACTGAGCGCGATAAAGCAATCAGCCTGGCATTTTTTTGGCGGGGGGGGGCTGCATCTTCCGGAAAACAAAGATACGGTCGAAACATCGCGGCTGTTTTGGAGCGTCCCTGCTGTTTCATCTCCGACATCACACACACGTTGCTGTTTCATTGATGGCCGGATCAACTTCTGACGTGTCTGCTCGTGATGCTCGCGCTGAAACCCAGGTACGCCATGATGAAGGTCGGCAAGGCCATCGCTTTCGTCATCGGAGTCGGCTTCATTGTCGTTCAGGTATGCTGCACTGCTGTACATGCAAGCATGTCATCTGTACATGCGACCATGCCATCTGTACATGCAAGTACATACTCAACAGAGGTAGACGAAATTCGTCACAGCGGGGAAACCCGTGGGTAGTTATTGTGTCGTTTACGTCCTGCTGCCGTCCCTCTGCACATTGTCAGCCGAACGAACGTGGGAAGCTTTAGATTGACTCGTCGTTCGTGTGGTCCGTCGAAAAGTTGGAGTGACCAATTTTACTTTTTGCTGCCGTCAGCCAGTCGCCTTTTGCACACGAAGGGGAAAAGAAGCCCGAGCAATATTTCAACCTTCCCAACTCCAAACATGGGGGAGATCATCGCGATTCCTAAACAAAATCCACTGAAATATGTTTTCTGCGCATTCCTCTCACCATTTTGCTCATATGCCAGCGACAGCCTGCAACAAACTCTGTCTGGGCGCAAGACAAGCGCCTGTTCGTGGTGTGCCTAGATACAAAATCGAATGCTATCGATTTTACACAATAGCCAGGACGTACCGTAAGGATGCGAGAGAACGCGCGGGGGTGCGATCTATTTTCAAAGCGTAATTTCTCCACAACCAGGAGAAATTACGCTT